GGGTACCAGCTCAAATATTACTGCAGAAGAGCACTGGACTTCAAACAGTAAACACTCCTTTTCCTTTCTTCAGGGACATCCCATCCTATTACAAACTCAAATAAAATTCCACAAACAGTTTCATTTATCAAAGTCTTACAGTAATACATCATTACTGTATTTGTTTATAAGCAACAACTTCTGCTTTTTAAAAAGTTATTTTGTTTGAAAATTCCACACAGCTGCCTATAAATTGGTATTTGTGTAATTAGGGTTTGGGTTTATGATCATCTGAATCTTGCCTTTCCACCTTTTTTTTCTTTTTTTAATTAGGGTCTTCTAAGCCACAGAAACCAACCAACTTACCACAAAAAAAATCTAGGAAACACCCATTTTCTATGCTACAATCAGTTAGATGGGAACAAACAACCCCATTTTGTCAAGAGAAGCAAGAGATGCAAATTTGTTCTAACATCATTCTGATAATCAGAAGGCAAATAATAACTACTCTCACTTAATGCCATTTGTTTCAGCAATAAGCCATCAACATTTTTTTAAATAAATGTGAACAAGTAGGATGTGACCCTTACAAACCATCTGTCATGTGGTCACAGCCTTTCCATGATAGCTATTGTCAGTCAGAAAGGTGGATTTATCCAACCACCAAATCACATCCTGGGTTTTCTGAAAAAAGAGTGACCAAAATATACAGCAAGTTACACAATCAGCTAAACACAAACATTTAAACACTTGTTCACAAGCCAAAATAATGTTTGGTTTTAAAAAATAGTTAAATAAAGATCGCTTTCATTTATAAAACAAAGCAATGTAACACAAATATAGCAAGGACATTAAATTTGGCTTCTCTAAAATGTACCACTGGATATCACCAGAATTACCAAACTAATGTATTAAAAACTGGCAGGAAAATTGACACTTTTAATGATACTCATAACATTATACTGTCATCAATTTTTTTTTTTTTTCATTTCGGATCAGAAAACACAAAATCTTCAACTAAAGTTGAAAAAGCAAGTTTGTATTGTCACTACCACCCAACAGCTCTACACTGGTCACAATGGTGCAAAGGTTCCCCATTGCTTTTGTTAATAACAAAATAAGTTATTTGAAAAATTACTTCTATTAAATGAGCAGCTAAACATAATTAAGTGAATATGCCCATGGCCCTCAGAAGTGTGTGAGAGACTGGAACACATGTAATGTATTAAAACATTTCATCTATCTGTCATTTCTGTATATTGCTACAGTAAAGAAACCTCTTTGCATTTCATGAATTTTGTCATCTAGAAATTATTAAGTAGGATAGTGTAGACAGTCACCACATATATTATGTACATAAGATGCAGAAAGAGAGGGGGGAAAAGTCAAAATTAAAGTTGTTCAGGATACTGAAGTACAAACTATACATATGTATCTTTGAAGTTTTAAACTTACGTTTGTAATTGTGGAGGAAAAAAACACCCTGTGGAAATCATTAACAGCTGCTTAGGTCGAACTCAGAGTTTGCTTAAGACAAATGATACTGCAGACACTTGCTGTGGCTTGTATGGCAGTTACACCTGAGGGGAAACAAAAGGGGATGTTGGTAATTCCAGGGTCTCCTGGCCTGGCAGAGCCAGTGCAGGATGAGAACTCACCTTTGCCTTACTAATGGCCCCTATCCATCAGACCTCAGCCCAAATCAGCTCTTTTATTGCAGCTCATTTTTTACCCAGCAAAAACATGTCATATTTAGTTTTTACAATAGCCTCATTGAAAAATAATAATTAGATTTTATTTTATAGGGGTAATATTTTTTAACTTATAAAGAATGTTCTGTATGTAGACTGTTGGAGAAAAACCTATTTCAGCCAATTACAGATCACAGAAAGTGCCCCCCTCAAAACTACCTGTTCTAAGAATATGAATAAATGTGACTGAAACACAGGTTCTAATAAATTTCCAGATTATAGAACACAATTGTTTTCATTTCCTATGTATATTTAAATATAATACAAATACTAATATTTATAAATCCAAACAACAAAGCAAATCAAAGACACAATAAAAAATCCACAGGGTTGGCAATCTCACCATGTTTTTATAGCTGAAAATATGGAATTTTATTTAAATAGAAAAGTTTTATGTAAGTTATTTAAATAGATTTTCTTCTCACAGGGAGTCCTCTTCAGCTCTTTATATGACCAGTAATAAAAATTTATGAATATGGCACAAAAGACCTGTTACTGTCTTCAGACAAGACTGTTGTCATTACCCAAATGAGCAGATTAATGACTTAGTCATGATTTTAGCATTTTCCTCTTTCACAGTAATGAGAAATAACTTGTAAACATTAAAATTTAAACATAAATTAGTTGTCAAAAGTGTATCATAAAGACTAACATTAACATTGCTGATCCAAATAACAAGGAGTGAGCCAAATTCTAATCTCCTCTCCAGGGATTTGTTCTATTGCACTACCAAGCAATTAACCTGACTTTCATTTAGTGTTATTATGATAAAATAAATAGATGTGTTAATGCATTTTTAAAATACACAAGCAAATGTCTTCCTTGGGAGGTTGATAATGGGCTGTACTGATCATCTCATATCATCTATCAGTTTGAAAGTAACTTATCATTTGTGTGTGCTTACTATTTTATGAGGAATGAAACTCCTAAAGTTACATAAAAAACATGTTTAAAATTAAAAACAAACCTTGATTGTTGCAATAGAAATGTGTTCAAGCACTCCCCTGAATAACATTCTCCCAGCTTAATATTGCCAACTTTAAAATTAAATAGCTAATTCTTAGCTTATTCTTAGCCAAATTTTATTTATCCTGTTCCTATTCAGGTTATTTCTTGTGTGTTTATGATTTTTTTCAATATTAATCTAGTGTTTTGCAAAGAAAAATTGCATAAAAATAAATTGCAATATTTAAGCCTAAATTCTGGTCTCCTAAGGTAAGAAATGACAGCCCTCTGCTGGCTAATAAATATGTACCCACAAGAATTCACAGAATTCACAGAATCACTGGGTTGGAAGAGACTTTCAAGACCATCAAGTCCAACCCATGCCCCAACACCTCAACTAAACCATGGCATTGAGTGCCACATCACAACAGCTTTACATTAATGCATCATTTAGCCCAAGTAAAAAAATATAAAAATATAGAGAGTGAAAATAAAATTGTGATACAGGGATGCCTGAAATTTTTTATCTGGACCATTAGGAAATATTCTGTCTACTTCCTGTAGGAAACAGTAGGGCAAGGAAATGGCTGAACACTGAATTATATGGACAATTCTATAAAATACTGAAATTCCTCAAAGAAGTAACCTTACTGAGTTTCAGTTTTCCATAGAGTATTCAAAAACAGCAATAAATGTTAATGGTAATCATTGTGTTACGCTGTAAGATTTTGTTTTGTTCAATTAAATGACTTGTAGTCCACAAAAATGAAAAGTGTCAAAAAATACTGATTTTTTGGGCATTTTTATGGTCTTAAATAAGCTTTAAATGCAAACATCAGAGAGCTTATTGGCTGCCAGATAAAAATGAGACTCAAAGCATGGTATTTGGCACAACAATTAGCAATATGATCTAACTTGCAAAGAAAAAACCTGGTTTTAGGTATCAGCATAAAATTTCATTAACATGAAATGTGCATGAGAAAAATCAAGACTAGTCCCTATATTTTATTTTTTTTTTCCTGTTTTTAAAGACTTGTTTTCTACTTTGCTCTGATGACCTGTACTGCATTTTAAAATAAAAAGGCATATATTGTAAATAATCTGTATTTGTCGTACATTAATTTAAAATGTTCCATAGCATATGTCTCTGTGGAAAAATTACAAATAATGTTTTGCAAAGTGCCTCTTCATTAACTGTGCTGACTGGAACAAGTGTGCACTGAAGGAACACACTGGCAGCGTACACTTTACTAGAAAAACACGGAAACCCAAAGGAACCTCCAGTGCAGCTGCCCACAGGTGACAGTGTGAAACAAAGAACTGAAAGTGTTTATTTTAATATATTTGACCGTTGTCTCAACGCCCTGATAACGGCATTCTACCAATGGAGACACTATCGGCAGAGATAACTGGAATCAGCACCCAAAGCAGAAGTGACGGAACATCTATTGCAGGTTCCCAGATGGAAGGAGCGGCGGTGCGCTGTCCCTGCCCAGCAGCTCTGCACACAGAGCTGGCAGCCTTCTCCTTCCCTTTCCAGAGGGGGATTTTGACCCAGCTGAACCGGGGCCACCCCGGGCCACAGGGGGATGTCCGTGCCACGGCAGGGCGTGGAACTCGGAGATATGAGGGTCCTTCCCGTCCGAGCCCGTCTGTGTCCCATGGCGCTCGGCTGGATTAAGTCTGAGGAATGCCCTGCGTTTCCAGCTGTCTCGGCAAGCAGCTCTGAGGAGCCTTCACCCCCCCAGACACGAACTGCGTTTTGTGCGCTGACCGGGGCGGGCACCGCGCGAACGGCGAGGGGCCGATGCCTTGTGAGAGGAGTGCTCGGGAGGATTTGGGTTTGGTGCTTTAGAAATGCAACTATGCAGTGAAAAACAATGGAGCTACAGAATATTCTGAGTAGGAAGGACCCACAAGAACCATCGATCACTGTAACAATCCCATACTGTGCCTGAGAGCGAGGTCCAAATGCTCCTGGAGCTCTCTCAGCCTTGGGGCCGTGACCACTGCCCTGGGGAGCCTGTTCAGTGCCCACCCTATGGATGAAAAAGTTTTTCCGCGTTTCTAACCCAACACAAAATGATTGAAGACCGGCTACCTCGCATTATCACTCGGCACACACTCCCCGCACGGGGAGAAGCGGAGGCTCATCTGGCCGCAGTGGGAGCCCGTGTGTGCGGTCTCGCTGCCGCCCGCTGCGGGTATCCGTGAGGGCCGGACGTTTCCCTGAGGGACCCTCCCGGCCGCGCGCCTCGGGAGCCCGCGCGCGGGGCGGGAAACCGCCCGGCCTGGAGGCCCGCGCGCGGGCCCGGCAGGGGGCGCTGTCGGGGCGCGCGCGTGCGCGGGAGCGGCGCCGCGATGGCGGCGCTGCTGGAGCACGAGAGCCAGATCTTCCTGGAGCTGTTCCAGCGCGACGGGCTCGTCGTGTGCGCCCGCGGGCTCGGCATCGACCGCCTGCTGCTGCGCTTCCTGCGCCTCTACTGCGAGCCCGCCAGCCTCGTGCTCGTGCTCAACACCAGCCCCGCCGAGGAGGTGAGGGCAGCTGCCAGCGCCCGCCCCTTCCCCTGCCGGCTGCAGCGTCCCGGGTGCGGCCGGCGGCTCTGTCGCTGCCCCGGCCGGCGGAGCGGCTCCCCGGGCTGGCGGGAGGGTGTGCGGGCCCCGGTGAGGGCAGTGCGGCGGGTGGGCCGGTGCACAGAACCACAGAACGGGTCCGGTTGGTAGGAGCACAGTGCCTCCTCTCTCATTCCCTGTTCAGGCAGGGTCATTCCAGAGCACAGGGCACAGGAATCTGGAATATCTCCAGCGAGGGAGACTCCCCAGCCTCTCTGGACAATGTGTCCCAGGGCTCGGGCACTCCCAGGGAAGAAGTTCTTCCTCGTGTTCAGGTGGAGCTTCCTGGGCATCAATTCCTGCCCGTTCCTGCTGTGCCATTGCTGGCCCGGGGAGCAGAGCCCGGGCCCTGCTCCGAGCCCTCCCTGCTCGCACTGACACTGCTGAGATCTCCTCTCAGCCATCTCCTCTGGAGGCTGCACAGCCCCAGCTCCTCCAGCCTTTCCTCACAAGAGAGATGCTCCAGTCCCCTCATCCTCTCTGTCACCCTCTGCTCCAGGGGCTCTGTGTCCCTTTTGTCCTGAGGAGCCCAGAACTGGACCCAGCACTCCAGATGTGCCCCAGCAGGGCTGAGCAGAGGGGCAGGGTCACCTCCCTGACCTGCTGGCAGTGCTCTTCCTAATGCATCCCAGGATCTGCTGAGCCACAAGGCACTGCTGGCTCAGGAACAGCTTGTTGTCCACCCCCAGGTCCTGGGGAAACTGCTAAACCACACACAATCAGGATCCGGAGAGTTGAATTTCTACTCCTGCAGCACAATGAAGTCCGAGTGAGACTAATGAGTTAAAACAAGTACATAACTTATAAGTAACCAGTGAGGAGAAAGGGGTGAAACCTGCTTATTTGGCTTGACAGGTTTGTCCCTAATTGTACAAAAAAAAGCCGTTCTTTTTTTATCTGGAACCAGACAAATTTCCCACCTTCAGGAAGGGGAGATCTTAGGGGACCTTTTATAGCAACCATAGGTGAATAAAGATCACAGCTGTAGTTCATAAGATTAAGCTTAGTGTATATGAGCTACCGGCTGTAGTCGTCTCATGACTACACATGATGGCACTAAAAGATGATCTCTTTCCAATTCTCTGTTCTTAAGGCAGTATTAAAATTGCATTTTCTCTGAAAATGAGATATTGAAATATAAGAAAATGTAAGCTCCTTGAAGTATCAGTGCTCATTTTTATGTAAGTATTGTCTAGTTACTACTGACTATTACCCAGATGAGTTTGAAAGTGAAGAAAGTATGTCAAAGAAGAAAAAACTCATAATTCTGATTTCTTCTACTATGTTATACTATCATGTCTTAATTTGTTTTTGATAACTCCTCAGAATTACTAGAGTATGTGTAATAAAGGTGGTTTTTGGATCCCTTTCCCTGGACACCACAATAATGTCTTGTGTTTTTGTTGTGTTTGGTTTAGGAGTATTTTATTGATCAGCTGAGGTCAGATGGAGTTGTTCATCTCCCTCGACGTGTTACCAATGAAATTGCAAATAACACTCGATATGAATTTTATACACAAGGAGGAGTCATCTTTGCAACAAGTCGGATCCTTGTGGTAGATTTCCTTACTGACAGAATTCCTGCCAATCTCATTACTGGTAAGAGCTTAATGAAATAAAGGTAGGAATGTTCTGTTTTCAAATACACAAAGCTTAATTCTATATGAAGAACTCTACTAACAGGTATTGAGGTTGAAGAATTATTCCTTTCTTTTCCCCCCACCAAGACTGAGATAAAAAGAGCAAATATGTACTTCTTTCATTCCTTTTTTTTTCACCTCTCAAGTCATTTGACATCATACAGTTTAAAAAGGCTTTCAAAGCAGAATAAATGATTGCACTTGGTGAAATAGTGTCCTGGGGTCTATTGAACACTGGTCTATCATTAAAACACATTTTAGATGTCATGCTTTATGAGCCATGTACACTACCTATAGTTTTGCATTAACAAATCACTCCTGATGACTTCTCATAAAAAAATACCTCACTAATCTTTGTATTGACACACTTGGATACTATGCAAATAGCAGTATTACGAAGTAATGTTACTGTAATTGTAAAGATTTGGGGAATAGTGTGCAACCTTTTTTTTGTACTTATATAGAAGCTGTACATGGAAGATGTAAGTTACCGTTCTCTTCTCCTGTTCTGTTCCTCTTCTCCCCCAGCCACTCTTGTTTTTATGTTCCTGTCTAAGCTGGAAACCCTGTTACAGCCTGTAGAGCTGGAAAAAGAGGCATCTAAGAGCCAGGGATTTAAGAATATTTTACTGTTTTCTAAGTGTTAACATCTTAATGATAAAACATAGCTGAATATTGTATGCTTAGAAGAATGTGAGTTTCTGCTTCAGAAGTTGCACCTCCTTTTTTTTTGTCAAGCTATAACAAGTTCTACTCTAAAACGTTTTGAATACTTCTGCTGGAGTTGAAGAACACCAGATTTCTAAGTTAAAAGAAGTGAATAGGTTTTCTGGGCAACCTGTGGTAATATCTCTTTTTCCTTGGTTCCTTCTTCTTTACCTTCCTAACCTACCAAAGAAGAAAAAGAAATAGAAAGTTGGAAAGAAGAAATACTGTAAAGTTTTAAAATTGTTGCTGTCCTATAGTGCCACAGAACTATGACAGGTTTTGCATTGCCACCAGAGGTCGGTGTGAGAGCAGCTGCAATCGACTGGCAGCTTCATTCCCAGCCTCCCAACACCTTGGTCTGTGTCTGTCCCAACACCTGCCTTGTCTGTGTGTGAGATTGTGCAACAAAATCTTGTAGTAGTGTTTCATGAGGAGACAACAGCAAAAGTCTTTCTAGGTGTTAAAAATGTAGTTTGTAAAATCAGTGTGAATTAACATCTGATGAACTCATAAATCCAGCTAAATGAAGATAAATGCCGAAGGAGTAGAGAATTTTCGTAGCTAATAAGTCTTGCCACTCATGCACAAGCTTTTTTTTTTTCTGTTAAAGATGCGTTATTAACCTAGTTCTGTTATTTGGCAATTCCATGGTACTGAAACTGAGGAATCCTTTGTTTCAACCCCAGTAAGTTTGTTCGACCTTCATTTTAGAAGATGTAAATTCCTGTGATTAAAAGAACAGTAGAAGAATTAGACAAGTGTGAGGAAAAATTTGTACAAACTTAGACCTTTCTGTATTTTTTTAACTTGATTTTTTTTTTTTTTTTTTTCCAGGCTTTTTGGTGTACAAAGCACACAAAATCATTGAATCCTGTCAGGAAGCGTTCATCTTGCGACTTTATCGCCAGAAGAACAAGCAAGGCTTCATTAAAGCTTTTACAGATAATGCAGTTGCATTTAACACTGGTTTCTGTCATGTGGAAAGAGTGATGAAAAATCTTTTTGTTGGGAAGCTTTATCTGTGGCCAAGGTGAGGCACTTCTTTCCTTCACTGGAGAGTTAAACTTAAGAACAAAGACAAAGGATGTTACAGCAGGTTCCTAAGAAAATGAGGTGTATTCAGTCACACTGCTAATCTGTGTTCCTTCCTGTATTCCCAAACAAATTTTTTTCAGTTTTTGACAGAAGTGGTTTTAAAGGTGCTGAATTCATGAGAGTATTTTTGAAAATGGACCCCAGTTGTCTCTGTTAAGGGGATGAACCTTATGGTAGAGCTGTCCTGTTAGTCAACAGAAATCACAGCAAAAAGTGTCATTCTTAACAGTTTAAGAAAAACTTCTCTTTCTAAACAAGAGTACTTAAGTCATGAAATGACAGGTAAACAGTCTCTCAGTTCTGCTATTCATGGAGATGTTTTTTTTTCCAGCTCTTACGAAACTCCATGCATCTCTTTTTACATGTCATATTTTTTAAATCTTCCTATACATCTATGCTGTGTATGAAGAAAATTTCTTGATGACTGTTCAAAAACAAAATGTGGCATGCACAGAGTCTTCCAGGAGCAGATCCACAAATGGAACTGAAGACTCTGATGACCCAGTCAGTGCTCTTGCACTGGGCAGGAGCTCTGCCCATTTGTTCCATTAATCCGAGCTGGAATGCGTTTTACTCCTTCTTAATGAATGGCTTCTCTGTATTGTAAATTCCTTAACAGTCTTTCTTTCAGTGTCCCAGGGAAGTAGAAGTGGACGTACCTGGGTAGAAAAGGTTGAGTAGAAGCTCTCTAGATTTCTTTCCTTGACTTCCATGAAAACACCTGGGGCTGCAGGCTGCAGTAAGGGAAATGTCCATGGAGTTGCAGAGGTCAGCAGCCATCGGGGTTCTCTGATCCTCCTCCTGTCAGGGACAGTCAGGTGGCATCTCTGGATCTGTGCAGCCGGAGTGGCTCCAAGGACAGGATTCCAGCAAGGACCTGCATGTTGTCATTGCAAGCTGGGAACATCATAAAATCTGCTGGTGCAGCCTTGTGATTTCAGAGAATTCCCTTCCAGTTTCTCCCTTATATGATTTTTTGGGCTTATTTTAATATTTGTTATGTGTGATGATGATGCAGAATCCAGTGCAGTAATTTTCCATGGATCATTCACCAGCACTATAGGCTCACATGACTAGGATGACTACAATCATAATTGTGGAACAGATGGTTTTCCAAGGCTGTTCATAAGATTGCAGTCTTCACATCAGTAGAAACTGATTTTGGAATTAACGTACTTGTTTACATTTAAAATAATTGTAGTTTATACAAACTTTTGAGTAATTCTAAGTCAAATAAAACTATCCATGTAAATTTTAAGAAGCTGTTTTTCTCTTAGATTTCATATAGCAGTGCACTCGTTTTTAGAGAAGCATAAACCTGAAGTGGTGGAAATACACGTGGCAATGACCCCTGCTATGCTTGCTATCCAGACTGCAATCCTGGACATTCTGAATGCATGTCTGAAGGAGCTCAAACGTTACAACCCAGTTCTTGAAGTAGAAGATCTATCTTTAGAGAATGCTATTGCTAAACCTTTTGACAAGGTAACAATTTTGATTGTTTTGCAGTGTCTAAGTAACGGGATATAGATCTCCGAAGTGCCTGCCATGCAACAGAAATGTTATTTGCAAAATAAATAACCAGCAGCAGCTGAGTGTTCTCCCATGACATGTTTATTACTGGTGCAAGGGGATGTAATGATGATGTGACAGTTGCCAGTAGCATTTTTTATGTATTGGTATTATTGTTCTTCCTTCATTTCTAAAGCCCCAAGAGTAAGAACACCCCAATTCAGGGTTATAATAATTGTTGCTGCTGTTATTAAAAAGACAGCTGCAACTTCAGCTCAGAATATTTTGGAGATGAGTATCAGTAATTGCTGTACACATACTCCCCTTTTCCTTTTGAATTTCTTGCTTCTGTTTTTTATTTTCTTTAGTAGGAGAAGCACTGTATGTAATGGACAATATGCACATGCATGCATCTGCTGTATCTTTAATCATTATGTATGTCAATAACTTTGCTGTTATTTTTGATCTGTAATGTGTGGTACACATATGCTTTCATTAGGGTGAAATCAGCTGTCGTAGCGCAACACAGGTACTGGTTAACTGTGATTTAATCTGGATGGAAGGCCTTCTGTACTTTAAATATTTTAAGGTTCTTTTTTTGACTCTGTAAGTTGCACATCTTCATGGTACCTATCTTGATTTTGGAAACAAAATGACATTATAATGGTTTTTTTCTGTACCTGAGTAAAGAACACTAGATACTAAATACAACAGGCCAGTAGCAGTAAAATAAGGGTGTTTTTTTATAATTTTACCAGTATTTTATTATTAGATGAAGAGGAAAAAAAATCTACTGAAAGCATTAAATTATATATGTCTGCTAATTGCTGAAATGTTTTTTATAAAGACATCATATTATGTTAACTTTGCAAAAATATGTTAACTTATATCAAACAAATATCTCACCAGTACATATTTATTTTGTTATCTAATAATTTTGGGAAACCAGAGCATCCCGTGTAAAGTAAAAATGTGTTCTCAGCTTGGTTTGACGTTATAATGCAATACTCTATGTTTGACACTCCAAACTTTCCAATTTTCATTTCCAGACAATACGTCACTATTTAGATCCTCTCTGGCATCAGCTTGGAGCTAAGACAAAGTCTTTGGTCCAGGATTTGAAGGTCCTACGTACTTTGCTACTGTATCTAACCCAGTATGATTGTGTCACTTTCCTTAATCTCCTGGAGTCACTGAAAGCAAGTGAAAAAGCTTTTGGTGAGAATTCAGGTAAACACAGAATAACCATACAAGTTAATGCATGAAACGGTGCAATGCTGATGTTTTTAATTATCATTCCCAAACATATGAAGGTATCTAATTAGGTTTTACACAATCAGCCATAAGGACGTAGGTTTTTATTGACAGATAATTCTTTCATCTTCCCACTTAACTGCTGTTACTTAACAGTGTGAGATTTGCATCACATTTATGGTTTTTATTAAGCTGGTGATTACACAGCAGGCAGGTAGGGCAGGTATTCCAGCTGAAGATCCAGGGCTTTTACTGCAGAGAATTGGAACACATACACATTGCAGATGTCAAACTACTACTGCTTCCTTCTCATTTCCTCTCCAGGCTGGCTGTTCCTTGACTCCAGTACTTCAATGTTTGTGAATGCCCGAGCTCGAGTTTATCGCATTGCAGATGAGAAACTGAATCAGAAAGGCAAAGGCTCAGGCTCTGAAAAACGTGATGTAAAGAAGGAAAATGGTACTGATCATTCCTAATTTTAGGTTTTAAGAGTGTCACACGATTCCAAGTACTTTGTATATTATTACTTCTACTCTGGTTCCCTGCATGAACTTCTACAGCTCAGGATCTCAGTCTGTTAACTGGGATAAATTGAGACATAATCTTAGTTCCAAAAGCATACATAAACAACATAAAAGAGTCACGAAGTAGGGGATTCTCCTGAGCTTGCTCAGCTGATCACTGGATGAGCTTTTGTGGAATTGTTCTTGCATTACATTGATGTTTAGTTTCATCTTTATTATCTTACATGAAAGAGTAGGAGGCTGTAGTTGCTTTTATTAAAAAAAATATATTCAGGAGTTTCAGAATTGAAGAATGAGTGAATACTTCAGTGTTTTGCTTCACAAAAGCATTTATCTCCATTTTTAAATTTATGAGTGTTCTCCACCTCATTAGCATAACAAGTTGCATATGTAGGCTGTTGAATATCATATGTGCCAACAACCATCACACTATTGACATCTAACCACTGATTTAAAGTCTGAAGGATATTTTGCCTGCAAGAGCTGCTATGTTCAATCTAACTTTGTTTCAGAACTGAAAAGGGAATTGGTTCTGGAAAGTAACCCAAAATGGGAAGCTTTGAGAGAAGTACTGAAAGAGATTGAAAATGAGAATAAGAACAGTGACAGCCTTGGTGGTCCAGGTGAGAGAATACTAAATTATGCGTGTTTTCCAGGAAGTCTACTGGTTTGTACTTCTACTTGACCTTGGAGAGAAGGAACTAACTCTTTTCTGTAGTTTTATCAAAGAGCTGGTTTAAATTTAGTAATTTCTGGCCTTAAAATGAGGAATTTATGTAAATTATGTACATAAACTATGTAAAATTAGATAGTTTTACATAAACTCTTACTAGGTCTTGCTCTAAAAGATAAATGCTGTTTGTTCCTACAATGAAATACTTTTTAGGAAAGAACCTGCATAATTCTGAAAAAAACCATTTTAGGTTACATTTCAGTAGTGTACTGATACCTTCAAATTCTAAGCCAAATAAAATGGATGTGGAGATTTATAATTATCAAGGTACTATTCACTAATTTCTGAAGTTTCAATTTCTGAAGGTTCAAAACAAAAATAGGGGTTCCGTCTTAGCCCCTTTATAACTTGCACACTCTTCTCATGCACCTGAAAATTTGCTTTGCATGGGTTGCATATAAATGAGGTAGAGATTAGGAGGCAGGGAAGAGAGTCTAACTGCTTTGCTGCCTTTCCTATTTTAGGGCTTTTCATTCCCTTAAAATCTGGCAAGTTTTATTTTAGGAAATAGTAAGGGTAAAAAAGTGCTCTTTTCTCCCACCCACAGTGTTCTGACTCTGGGTAAGAACTGGCTCTCTCTCTTAGTGTTGTAGGAGTTTATCTGAGTCAGCTTGCGGAGAATTGTTATTCACAAATGTCAATAATACTGTGTGAAACATGTGTTTTGTAGACTCTCTAACACAGGTGACAAATTAGAATGGTCTAAATCAAGTTCTCTCTTATTCCACATCTTAAAAATGAGTAGTTGTTCGAGTATGTTTCAACACACACTGTATCTGCCTCATTTCCAATGGTCAGAACGAAAACTTCATGAATTTAGATATTGTAAGAAAAAGGAATGTTGCGCTTCCATTAATCTACTCTAATTTTATTTGGTACAAAGAGCCATGCAATTTAGATTCTCTCAAAGTCCAGGGCAGCTGTGGCAGCCGAATGTCGAGGCATTTGGCAGGCACAGTGCTTGGATCAGTGCAAGCCATTGGCTCGGGAAGTGCTTGGAGCTGGATAAGAAGCACAGTATTACAGGCTGTAAACATGGTTTCTTGACTGCAGGGCAGGTGCTCATTTGTGCCAGTGATGACCGAGCCTGTGCACAGCTCAGGGAGTATATTATTGCTGGAGCAGAAGCTTTTTTAACAAGACTATATAACAAAACCTTCGGAAAGGATGAGAAAGCTGGAGAAGTGTGGATTAAGGACAGAAACACCATCAATTCCAAAGGAAATGCCAAACCAGACACAGGGCCTCAAGCAAAAAAAGCCAAACTGACAGCTTCAAAACAAAATAAACAGAAGAAGCAGCAAGACCGGACTCTAATCCAAATGATAGGGAAAACTGAGGAGGAAAAGAGAGAAGAGGTTGAGGTGGAAGACAACAAAGAATTAAGTGGTAGCCAAGAAGGCAACACTGAAGAGACTGTTCCTGAAGATTTTGATTTGAATTTGCCCTCAGATTGTTACTATGGGATTTTCAAGGACCCACTGACAATTATCCACCCGCTGCAGGGGTGTGGGGATCCCTACGCGCTCACTCGGGTGCTGCAGGAAGTAGAACCCAGATATGTTGTGTTGTATGATGCAGAACTCACTTTTGTTCGGCAGCTGGAAATCTACAAGGCAAGCAGGCCTGGGAAGCCTTTGAGGTAAGTTGACTGGGCCAGCGTAATTCTAGTCTGGAAAGAAAAAATTAGTAGAAGTGCACTGTCAGCAGTCAATGCAGAACATGCTGCTGTTCATTTTCGTTAGCTACCTTCCACTCCCTGTTGAGCCCTTAAGTTTAAACAAAAGCAGAATGTGTGGTGTAATCAAAAGATAATTTTTACTTTCCAGCAGGTATTTAGTCCCTTAACAGGAGAAGCATATCTGTTAAAAAAAAAGAAACAATTCCAAGATCTCTGCTTCAAAGATTTTAGTGGCAGTTGATCATTTTCAGGTAGTGTGGTCTCATTTTAAACCATCTCTGAAGATAAAATTTTTAAAGAAAAGGATTCATTTTTGGTTTAATAAATTTTCACATTTTGTGATGTTCATCTTGCTGAAGACTAGTAATTCAGAAACTGTAACAGAGAAGCAAGTAAAGGAAACACAATAAAGAAAAAAAGTATTTGCAGTTATAGCATTTACTGACAGAAGATCACCACACTGAATATATGTATTTAATACACCTGGAAATTGCAAAACTCAGTTTTTGAATAAATGTCACATACTGATTAAAAATATAGAAATCTTGACATTTAATATGCTATTAACTAACTTGTCAGACATTTACTGCTACTAATCTTAAATTTATTGGTTGTGAATTTTTTTAACTTCATACAAAGTTGTGTGACCTCTTCTTTTTTCTCTTTTATACCTACAGAGTTTATTTCCTCATATATGGGGGCTCCACGGAAGAGCAGCGCTACCTCACAGCTCTGAGGAAGGAGAAGGAGGCCTTCGAAAAACTCATTCGGTAACACATTTTAACTGCCTTTATAATTAGAGTTTCATGTAATTCCCCAATATGCTTATATTTTAGAGAGTGAAGTTCTTATCATAACTGTGTGAAGGCTTTAAATAAACATTCAATTCAATTCTTTGTCAGATGTAAAGACTATTTTCTTATTGAGAATCACCAAAAAGTCACAACTTTCCTTTTCAATAATTTTAGCGGGATTTAATATTAACGTAAAGGCTAATCAGCATCACTCGAATTTTTTCTTAATTTTATATGAAGTTCATTTGTGTAATTGTGTTTTTGCAGGTAACATTTCTTTTAAGATAATTTCTAAAGCTTTTATAATCTAAGTCAGTTGGGGAAACAAAACATTCCCTTAGCCTGTATGTGACAGTATTTTTACTGACAGTGCCTTCTCAGCGGGTTACAGTGCTATTACTAGTCATTAGTTCCTTTGTAAAAGGAAAAGTCTAGAAAAATTCAGTAAATTGCATTTCTGACTGGGGCTGCATTTAGTATTAAACTGTATATAAGTTTACATCTGGATGAAGGGTATTGAAGTATTTCACTCCTGCATTTGCAGTTTTTAGTGTGTGTTTTGTTTGTGGTTCCTTAGAGAGAAGGCTAGCATGGTTGTTCCTGAAGAAAGAGAAGGAAGAGATGAAACAAACTTAGACCTCCTCAGAGATGCTAGACCTGCTTCTGTCTCTGCTGACACACGCAAAGCAGGTGAGCAGCTACTAGGTCAGGCTTGCAGCCCAGAGTTTTCCAAAAGTCCCATAACTATTGGCCTTTAAATCCCCCTCAAAGCATCTGGGGCAGAGGCAACATTGTACATTGGCTCTGCAGTCTTCATGCTAAAGAAGCGTTATTTCCCAGTGACAATGAACTGTGGTTTCCTTTAAAAATACAAGTTAATGAAGTATTTTACCATTAAGACAGATACTGTTTGGATTGTTCCTAGTCAGATTGTTGGTTATCAGGCTGTCTAGTGCTGCTTGTAGGAAGAGAAATTAAAACATAGAAACTGAAGTCTACAGATGGTCAAAGGCAGAGTTGTCCTTGAGCTAGTAAATGTTGGGGATTTCTTTTCATCTTGACAAAACCTGCTGCCTGGGTAAACAATCATACATTATGGATTTGATCACTTCCTTTGTAATAAAGAGTCCTTTTTCTTTTGTTGCAATTCTAACGATATTTTTATTCTTTTCCTCTGACAGGTATGCTGTGCCTCTGCCTGTTTTTCTTTACTGTTGTTTCTATAATCCTGCTCTCCTTTGCCATATGCTCTCTAATCTTTGCTGTTATATCTTTTGTGGCCTTGGTGCTGCAGTCTTTTTATGTGTCCTGCAGATCTGTAGAGGGCAACACATAATTCCCACAATAAAGTGCTGTGTTTCTGTGGGAAACAGCTGGAAACAAAAGGGATCAACTTCATTATCTTGTTTTGCAAGCAGCCTTTTAAAGATTTCCCCGATTCATTTAAATAATTTTCATCTACAGCTTAATATATTTCACTGTCAACTATACAAAGCTTTCAGCAAGTAGCATGGTAGTTCTATCAAGTTGCAGAGTATGCTCCATAAACTACAGTATATATTTAAGCAAGTAATTTTTTTCTCTAACAGTTAAAAATCAAATGAAGTCTGTGTTTATTGTACTGCTGAATTTGAGGTGTAACTTAAGATGAGAAGTCCATCCATTGCAGAAGCCTGGCCAGCACACAGGAAAACAACCAGAGCAGGAGGTGCCAAGTGTGGGCATAACTGTGTTTATTTTGCTCTTTAGGTGGACAGGAACAGAAGGGTGTTCAGCAAACCATAATCGTGGATATGCGGGAATTCCGTAGTGAGCTTCCATCATTGATCCATCGCCGTGGGATCGACATTGAGCCCGTGACTCTGGAAGTTGGGGATTATATTCTAACCCCTGACATCTGCGTGGAGCGGAAGAGCATCAGCGATCTGATAGGCTCCTTAAACAATGGCAGGCTGTACACACAGTGCGTGTCCATGTGCCGCTACTACAAGCGCCCGGTTCTCCTCATTGAATTTGATCCTAACAAGCCCTTCTCCTTGATCCCACGAGGCTCTTTACAGCCAGAAATTTCCAGCAATGATGTTACCTCTAAACTAACCCTTCTCACACTGCACTTCCCAAAGTTACGAATCCTGTGGTGTCCCTCTCCCCACGCTACTGCTGAACTCTTTGAAGAGTTGAAACAAAACCGTCCCCAACCCGACGCAGAAACAGCGATGGCTGTCACCGCAGATTCCGAAATTCTCCCCGAATCAGACAAGTACAACCCTGGGCCTCAGGACTTCCTGCTAAAAATGCCAGGGGTTAATGCAAAGAACTGCCGTGCCTTAATGACCCACGTTAAAAGCATTGCAGAGCTGGTGACACTGTCCAAGGATGAGCTATCCAAAATTTTGGGTAATGCTGCCAGTGCCACACAATTCTTTGACTTTATTCACCTGACCTATGCAGAGGCACTAGCCAAAGGAAAAAGCAAAAAATGACTCACAAGATTGTTCAACACATAGCACAGATAAGCTTTTCTGGCACGGTACTTTGACAAATACATGAATTAAATGCCCCCTCTAAGATAACCAGCTGTTTCTTGCTAATGCTATTCCATCAGTTTTAATATGTGAGTTAATTATTACTGAAGGCAAGTTTCAAGAGGAAAAAATACTTTTAACAGAGAAATGTGAATTATTTTTAAAGCACTTTAACTCTATAATGCCACTGAATTAACTAGATGAAGTTTTTCACCAAGACCATAAGACTTAAGTGCTAAGACTAACTGATAAAGGTGTTTTTTTGTGAAAGTTATGATGTCTTGTTCAAGCTAAAAATGTGCTGTGTTTTGATTAGTCTGTGTGACCTGCTAAATGATAAAATGCTTTTGCAATATTTAATGTCTCTCTCTCTGGCAACTGCCAGTTTTTGATTGACAGTGATGGAGCTATTTGAAACACATTGTGGTCTTTGCTCAGGAGTTTGTATAGAATATATTGGGACTGAATCCTGAATTTTAGGACATGACCATAAGCCTTTGTCGCAGTAAAATCCATTTGTATATTATGCTCTACATTTTGTTTGCTTACCTTACTACTAGTTACACTTTTTACCTTTCCAAAGCTGGTACAGCTGTCTTGCTGGATTTTGCAAAGTGCTTTGCTTTGGCTTAACTGGGTAGAGATTCTTTGGTGCCACAGTGCAACTTAATTTTGAGTGTGCCTTACTTATACATTTAAGAGGCTTTGTTTTTTACTCAGTTTTGATAGCTCTTTCACCTCTTTCAATTGAAAGTGAAAAATCTGGGTATACCATTGGCACTGTTCCTTTATACTAGAGAATATTTCCTCTTGTAAAATGCAGTCATTTTCTAAGCAAGGTTTTCCAAAAGTGTTTAAAGTCCTTCCAATATTGGCTTCTTTTGTGTCATATTGCTCTTGTCTTTTTATGTCCCAAATCAACTGTCTGTTAATAAACTCAGTAAAGCCATTGTCACATAGAAGATAATACTTTTAGCATTTTATCTAGCATAAAAGAGGGAAAGGTTTGTGAATATATGCATTGTTAAATTATATATTCAACATTGAACTTTGATACAACTGTGTTAACAAGCTGCCATTATCAAAAGGGTAGGTCCCGTGTTATTCCATGCTAATGTATTTACATTTGCTATTTACAAAACCTTTATCTATGACTTGCACATGTATTTATACAATTATAATGGGAACAACAGACCAATATTATCTCCTTCATGAAAGGAGAAAATATTTTTTGAGTTCAGGTTTGGTAAAAACTGTACTGTGCACTCTCAAGTAAAATGTTTATTGTGCATTTTAAGTGTGAATTATGATTAATTATGAAATTATTAACTTTAATCTGTGGTTGAGCTGTGACAAATTTCCAAAGGAACATTTTTCAGCAGATGCAGTTTTTACTATTAAATAAACCCATAATAATATTAAAATTTGTTCATTATCTTGTTTTTCATTTGGCTGTATTGATATCAAAATATTTTTATTTTTAGTGTGTGGTTTACAGTCGAGATCTTAGGGTTTTTTGTTGCCCAAGATTCTAATATATTTAATATGAGAAGTCTTTCCATGTGACTTTTGCTTATTCAGACTAATTGTCAGATCTGCAGAGGGTTGAGAATGCCTGTAAAGTGGTGCTAAGTGAACTGGAAATCAGAGTAAGATCAAAGTATCCTGCGTGCATGGCCTGTAGAGCCTGATTCAGAAAGGGCAGCTGGCCAGCCTTTGAGAACAAACATTGCTTGTGCAATGGGCATTAAGGTGCTCCATGAACTGTGGGTTTGGGGTTTTTCACAGATGCTGCTTAGCTCTGTCAGTGAGGTTTGGAGTTTTTGCATTGATGTGTATGGGGTGAAAATGAAGGGTATAGTAATGGGTGATAAAGTTGTAGCTTTGTGTTGTATGCTAGATCAAAGGTATGCAATCTGCAATTAAATAATTGTGTAATATATGCAATTAAATAATTATTTGCTAGCTATTTTAATGAAATTGCCTTTTGTGGAATTTTTGGAAAGCTTTCTTTTTCTATGCAGGATTTGCCCTTTTTCTCTAGAACAGAGTTGTCTTTTTATTCTAGACAGTATATATTGTTTCATATTATTGCTCCTGTGCTTTGGCATTGCACTGTATTAGTTTCGATGGCCAGTTAGAGTTGTGTCCTCCTGGGGCAGGAGGTACAGACTGTGCTCCAAGGTAGGAGAGGTCCTGTGTCCTGAAACCACTTATCCCTGAAATAATAGAGCCAAAGGCTCTGCCTGAATGCAGTCACAGCACAGGGTTGGGTGAATGATGAAAACCCTCTCTTTGATCAACAGTCATGGAATTTGTACATCTTGAATTTGCTGATGCTTTAAATTTGTGCTTTTTTTATTAAAAAAGCAAACACAAACACCCCCTACCTTCAGTTTGGGAATGTCTCAGCTTCTTGCTTGTCCCCAAATCAAGACTTCATGTTCCCAGGTCCCTCAGTAGGTGAAACCCCCCTGTGAGGGGTTCACATGCTATAGAGTTGCCAAGTTGCTCCTTTCTGCAAATTTCTCCTGGGCTTTGATCACTGACAGTTCTTCTGGAATAACCACACAACCTCTTAGGGGCAAATGCACTTACATTTGCAAAATATTTAGCACAGGGTAGATGAAGCTGCAGCCCCTGTGTTTCAGTTACCTGGTCACTATTCCAGCAGTTTTGAGCTACAGCTGCAAAAGGAAGCTTTGTTGGCAGTGTTGTCACTGTGCGGTCCCTAACCAAAGCAAACCTTACCTGCAAAATTACTTCTGCATGAACACACAAAGTGAGGCTTTTCTGGGAGCAGCTAGACTGATTGCTTTCAAAACTTAAATGTAAGCTACTTGACCAGAAATCCACACAGTTTATAAAATATGTAGCTATGCTGTTAAAAACAGTTACTCTTTTGGAAAGTGGAAAAATTTAAGTGGGAGTATTGTGATTTTGATTTCTCATTTGCAGACTGATAGTACAACCACAAATAACTTAATTTTTAATAATTAAAATTTGTCTCTAAAGATTTCCTTAGTCAGGATTCCCATTCTAACTGTAGAATAGAATCCAAAAGCAAACATCTGCCAAAAAATAATTATTACATGGGTACATTATTATATACAGCATAAAGAAATGTAACTGAGTGTCATTAAAGAAACATCCTGTTTCCAGTATTTTAGGCTCCATGAGCTGGATTTACAATCCTTTCCTAAGGACCATTTTAGGATTAAGTTCATCTTAGCCCTTACTCCAAGATAACCTAAGTTAAATTAATATTCAGTTGATCTGTTTTGTAAAATATGTGATTTTAAGAAATGCAAATAGGGTCAGAAACCAGAAAGTTCAGAAACCATTACTCCAGCATTTTGTAATACTTTGCCATTTTAACTTTTTTCATATATTCATTCTTCATCTAGTAGCAAGAATTTTGGATATTTGCAGAATCAATCTAAGAATAGACCCTCTTATATGCTTCATATGAAGTCTTTAATATCTTAACTGTTAGGTACCCTCTTGCATTGAAAATACACTTACCAATAGTATCTGCACTTTCTTAATTTGCATGTTTTGACAAGGTTTTAGTAGGAAATACTCAAGTGTTATGAGTTTCAGTGCCATTTTTAATTTTGAGTACAAAATATTAGGAGCTCATCTCCCATATTTTTCAATACAAATAAGCAGACCATTTTTTAATTTGAGTTTTGATCTGTATTTTGAAAGCTTCTCAACAAATTAAAGGGAAGAAATATCCTCAGTCACAGTCTTGAAATCAGGGAAGAACTGTTCTAGTAGCTTGGCTGGCCAAGACTTAGCTGAGAGATGAATTCTTACTGAAGTTAGTGAGGGTAACCAGGGCTGCTACACCGCTATGGTTTTTTGTCTAAGCAGAAGATGTTGCTGCAATATATCAAAATGGGCCTTTGTATGTACTAATTTTAGTGTCTTTTTTTTTTTTAAAGCATGGCAAAATTACCTTAATCCACAACTGCTCTAAAGCAGTCTCCCTAGGAATATTTAATCAGGGCTAAATAGACACCGTTTTCTCAGCTTGTATTCTACCCTAGTTCTGTCTGTAAGTTCCTCTATAAATTAAAGCATAATTTTCATTTCTAGGGTCCTCATTGTTACTTCTTTTTTCTTTCACCTTGATCATCTCCTGTCAAAGAGCAGGAGCCTGGAGTTATTAAACAGCTGGCATTATTAGTCAGCAGTGCAATCTTGTTTTTGCAATGTCAGCTTCTTTCTCAGCTCTCACAATGGCACCTAGACCATTCTTGTTTCTATTCTTTTTTGTTTAGGAAAACATAGAAGCTATGTGGCAAAACTTTTTGGAACTGACTTGCCTTTTTTAATGTAACCTTTCTCATGTAAGTTCAGATCACAATCAATAGTCAATGTAAAACCACATGTAAGTCTTCCTGTTTATGAGATGCTAAGGTTTACCATGAGCTGGGCCCAGAGTTTCAGATAATATTAAGCTGGGACTACTGATTAAAGGATTTTAGCCAGGAGCCAGAGAGTAAGTTTATAATTCTGAGGGTAGAATTTCCAGAATCACTACTAAATATATCACATTTGTACAATAAATATAATAAAAGTTTTATTTTAAAATCGCCATTTGTATCTTTAGCTTCACTTTGATAAATAGTTCAATGAATTCAAATTTAATCTACCTGAACTCAGAAAACTTGGAATTTTACATAACTGAATTAGCAAGAAGAGAAAAAAATCCCCCCCTCTAAATTCAGTGCAATAGCTCTGGTTTCTGTCTCTTTAGTGACTATTACCTTTTGTCCACAGAAACATGCTAACCTTCATATTTCAAGCACATACAAAACCATCTCTCCATTCAAAGTCCAGGAGTTTTCCCAGTGAAATTGTCACATGAAGCCTAAACAAGGCTGCATTTCAACCTCTAAAAATAGGCAGCACAGTTCTAATCTGAGCTCTTTGCGTAGAGCCCTGCAGTTCCATGAGGATACACAGTGGCACATGTGCATTATCCCTCCTCTGAACATCCTCTTAGGTGAATGGAATGTCCCAGCAATGTCCCAGCTGTGCAGCTGCAGTGGAGATCTGTGTGTCCTGTACTCACAGTATCATTTAGCACTGAATTAAATAACATTTTACAGTTTCTTCATCACTTTTTTCTTGTGAAAATGTAAATTCTTGTGAATTTACATTATTCTCAGTCACTATTCAACTTTTATCTTTCTTCTATTTTTCCTCTGGAATTGTCTTAATTTTTTTTTTTTTTTTCTTACATCCCTTATCCTAACCATGACTATCTGTATTCTTGTCCTTTTTTTTCTGTTCACGAATGCTGCTTAAATATTGTGGCAATTTGTGATGTCTGTTGAGCACAAATAACACTGAATTCTTTGCAAGACTGGCTGCACTGGAGCCTTGTCCAGTACTTATTATCAAGGGGATTACATAAAAAAGTATTGTAGTTTGCTTTCATTTTGGTCCCAGACTTAAGGCCTGTCACACTTGGAAAGCTAACACTCAGGGAAAAGAGCAGCAGGTTGGCAGTTCTTCCAACATTAAATTCTTGGGTTTGTCTTACATTTCTCTTGAAAGAAATGAAAAGCAGTTCAAATAACAGACACAATAAAATCATAATCAGTTGATTTTATAAATTTTTCCCACCCTGGCAAAATTTTGAAGTATTTTTTATGTGCCACAAAATTCTTGGGATCTTATGCATAGATAGCAGAAGTTGGAAATTTTCTTGTGGCATTTATATCCCACAACCATTTTTACATATTGCAGTACTACAACTGGCAAGTTCTCAGATCCTGCAAAAACTCTTATTCCATGCTTAAGCCTTTACATTAGGATGTGGGAGATCTGCAACAGCAAAAATATAAACTGCATGTCTTCTACTTTTGTCTAGTTTTTCTTTATCCCCCTCCCTACCTCCTTCTATTGTCAAAATATGCTTTGTTTCTGCATCATCTTAAATCTCTGAATGTTGAGTGTTGGGTATAACTACAGTCTTTAAAAACAACATATAATTGTGTAAGAGTATCATGATTCTAACTTCTGAAGTCTCTGTAATGCTCTGTAATGCTCTTTTTCATTTGTTCCAGAGGCATTTGGAAATCTATCAATCCACTTTCTCTACAGCTTACACAATGTCTTTCCAACACTTGCAGTGTGACAGCAAAGGGGGCAGATACTCCTAACAAAAGCTGGCCAGAATGTAAATCACCTGCAGCTATAGCACAACAGCAAAATCTAGAGATCCTTCCAGAAAAGTCCTGCCCATACTAAATATGAAAAAATACCTGAAATCTTCAAGACATGTCCTGTGCAAATCTTGGTGCATGAAGTACTGTCTATACAGTCTTTCAGAAAATGAAGATTTCTCTGCCAAGACTTGAACTGCAGCAATAAATCTGGTGTACTACAGTTCATATAACTATTAAAGTTGCTGTTTTCTAAATATTTGCATTATATTGCACATCATTAGCCGACACAAGTCATAACCAAGTTCTTCTTTTTCACTTTAATATTTACTTGAAAGAAGGACTGAATCACATACTAAGTTATCCGAGTTCTTTTCCACAAAATACTATTGGTATTAAAATGTAGAGATTTGGGTTTTCTTGGTCAGCCCCACCAGCTCATTAGGGATTTCTGACATATTTCTAGTGGCTTAAATAACTCTTGTGTTATTACCCGAACAGAGGAATTTCAACTGGTGTCCAGCAGCAATGTCTGACTCTCCTTGGGCTGTTACCAGCTGCAGTCTGTGCTGTCCCACATCAGCACAGAGTACCTGCAGGGGGGTGACACGAGCCTGCACATCTGCAGTGGCCGTGTCTCTGCAATGACCCTGAAAAACCAGCTAAGCCCATCCCCGGTTCTATATTTAAAACTGTTTGTTTAATTGGTGGAGTGCACCAAGAATAAATAATGAGCTAATTCTGAAGATCATTCCCAGAACAGCCAGCACAGATTTCTTTTCTGCAAGTCAGAAC